GAACTAAACACTGTTCGTCATCATCATCTATTTTCTGTTGTTTGATAGTTAAATAGCCAGTTTGGAATAGTAATGAAACGGGAAGGTCAGGTACAACTAATCTCTTCTCTATCGTGATTTGATCTATGACATGCTCCTTACCAATCAATCTAGCTAAAAATTCGGTTTTCCCTTTTTGAATCCAAAAATTTTCATATTCAAAATTCTCAAAAAAACTGCAAAATGTTATATGGATTATACACTTTAATGTTGCCGTCTCAGGAGTAACCATTGTATTTTTTCTGAAACATCATTATAGCGATCTGATTTGGAGATTTAATAGTTTGTCTCACGTCCTTAAGATTATTTAATCCTGGAAATAAACCTAAATGTGCAAACATTGTTATACCCGTTACGAGAAGAAATTTAACTTTACTTTGCAGTGCCTTAATTACTTCAAAAAAACTCTTTAGTACGCCGTGGCTGTCATTTGCAATTTTTATGCTTTCTTTCGTGATACTAATGACATTTAACAGTGGTGAATCATATTCGTCTATGAGAATTATCACTTGTCCATACTTATTTTCATTATCGTCAGCTAGTGACTGAATTAACTTAAAAAGTGGCACTCTTAACACTATCATTCACAGTGTCGATGCCATATTGCTCACCAACCGATTGTACAGATTCTCAAAGAGATTATATTGAACCAAGTAGAAAGATTCAACCATTTAGAGAAATATTGATTTGCCAAATTTTCGAGGCCGTGATACGAAACATTGGCCATTATTTAACCGAAGTCGAGTTAACCAACACGTTTTGTCTACATATAATTGATTCCGACACAGGGACCTGTTGAACCTCATTATTACTTTGAATAACAGATATTCCTCTTTTCAAAGGCGCCTTTTTTTCATTGGTGGTTCTTTGTGGGAGAATGGGAAAAAATGGAAACAGAGAAACAAGCTGATTAATAAAAGATCCGCAAATTTGAGAGGGTAAACCATTGGGAGATACTTAGCAGTGGTGGCGGGCGGAGGTGGTTTCACAATGGTGTGAATATGATTGTCGCTAGGATTCTCATCAATATATTCCTTAATATTATCTTCTGCGCTCAAATATAAACCATCGAGTTCCTCTTTAATGTTAATTTTCATATGAGGTCTACTCATAAGTATTTTCATCTTTTCGTCAAAATCACCGTTCACTTGTTTTGTGTGAATAACAACTTTCCATATGTTGAGTTCGCATGCGTCAATTTTTTCGAAAGCATTTTTTTTAGCATTTTTAATAAGTTCTTGAAGATGCGAAATCTTTTTTTTCTTCCATTCTTCTTCCGTTATATCAACTATAAACCTATTCGTAACAATGTTGTTTTTTTTTCATTTAGATCGAGACAAAGTACCATGATTTCAGTTGAACTGAAAAAGATAGAAGTTTTAAGGAAATATTTTGATAGTTGAGGGTATATACTGTAATATACTTTCCTGAATCCATCGCGACTAATAATAAGATAGCAAAAAAAGTAATTTATCAGGTTCGCGATTCTTATTTAAAAAAGTTGACTAATTAGTGTGGCTTTTTATTTCCAATAAATTTTTAAACTCTTTTTCTTTCTCCGACTACCTAAGCCGTCGTACTATTGACTCTGAGCATAAACGTCATGAACTGAAACTGATCTATCGCAGTTTGAAAAGAGGTATTATTATTGAAGTCCGGACGAAGATGAAATATATTATATTTGGTATGACTTTACAAGGAAACGACTTCAGGATACGCAAACTAATGACATTTTTCAAATTTCTGAGTACCTTACTAGCATCACGGAATGCAAGCAACATAAATTTTCGGTGGGACTTTACAAGGTAGAGGATAATCGTCTGATTGGCTGATCCGAATCAATTACCCGGTAATAATTTATACGGTTTAAAGTACTTTTTTCAAATTGCTAACGTTTCACCATTTTACTTATGAAAAATAAATTTTCTTTCATAATTAGCGTTACCCTTCGCTGTGCAAAATAATCCCAAAATAATCCCTAAAATGAAGAACTTTACTTAGAAGCAAAGATGACTAGATGTATTATTACATTTTGTCAAAGCCAGAAATCAGTAAAGTGGAAAAGGTTACCGAAAACATTATTTCCAAAGGCCAAACTAACTAACAAAACCTTATCAGATTATATAAAAATAGGTGATACGTTTTGTCAAAACTGCTATAATGTAATCGTCATAAATTGTTCACTTGTCTTTTAACAACATGCTCAAGCCAGCATACAACGAGAAATTAAAACGATTGAGATTGAGAGTACTAGTTACACAGAGCAGTCTGAAACTACCAAAACTGAAGAAGCTGAGAATAACTCTTTACCTTTTTCTGAAGCAGTGAATATTAGTGTCAATTATGAGATGGGTAGAAAGTAAAGAATTGAGTAATAGTTTAGATAGCAATGCAGAGTAGCAGGGAAGGAATTGCCATTATATGGGTTAGGGCTTGGCAAATTTCCTCCCTTGAAACCTTGCTTCTCTATTATTTTATTTTACTTAGCTGGCTGAGCTCTTTATTCATATTACATAATGAGTAATATGTTTTCGATTGATTTTTAAATATGTACTATGCACACTTATCAATGAAAAATAATAAAGTTAAGTATTGAAAATAAAAGTATTTAACAAATTATGTAGCATTTGGCAAGTTTATTTTGATTTTATAAGCTTATTAAATTCGTGGGAAGTGTTGCTTTAAACACTTTGCATGTAAAAATATCTGCTATTAAAAACTGCGAGATGACAAATTACGGATCATTTTAACTATGGTAATTATTTTTGGCTTAAGCTTTAGATAGGATACGTTCCATTGCACGCACTGATGGCTGGTTCATCGCAGTTAAAATTATTTCATCTGGTGAGTCAATATCATTAGCAAATCGCGTGGTTGGTCGACGGTGTAAAAAATTATAATCTACAAGTGAATCAACTTGTTCAGAACCAATTGCTTTAATCAAGTCATCTTCTAAAATGTACCCTTGATCTTCTGCCTTCACAATTGCTTCCATGGTTTTGATTAAATCATAATCTTTCCAAAGTGGTGGATTGGGCTTATCTGAATATCTCAATTTCTTAGGATAGAGACCACGTTTCAACTTATTATATTCTGATTCGTAAATTGAAAATTTGCTATCTGTAAAACAATTTGTTTAAAACTCTTTAGTTTTTTTAAAATTAACAAAAATGCATATCCTTTAAAAACAAAACAGAATCTGATAAGCACCTTCAAGCTTTCCATCGTAATTTTTGTATTCTTTAACATATCTATCAATAATCAGTATACGTGTACCCGTTATTCTGCAGACGCGGTCAAATTTGCCTTCAAGTTCTTTGCATTCTTTTTTAAATAACAAAATACCATGTGAGACCTCAGTACATATAAATAGATGGGTTCAGTAAAGACATACCATATCTAGGAAGAACATGTTTTTCAAAATATTCTTTGGCTTCTTCCTTGCTCAAATCTCCAACAACATATGGGGTTGCGTGTGGGATATGTAAAACTAGGCAATAAATGTGGATTAGAGAATAACATTGCTATCAAATATGATTATAAGAAGGACTTACGATTTACGATCCAATTAAAAAAGAATGAATCGGAAGAGGTAAGCACTACATGAAAGCGACCCTTTTCTTTTGTATTTACCACCATCCAGTTCAGAATTGATTTAAGAAGAACTTCTCCCTCTTCCGAATTCCCAAGTTGGCTAAACATGTTTGCTTCATCGATGACCAAAATGGGTGGAGGTACCTTGTAACCATCCCAGTGGGTCCAATTCGGGAGAGCATTACCAATATAATCAAGCAACTTACTGACATCGTTAGAAGTAATTGTTTTCTCATTAAATGGATCCACACCAAATGGCTTAATTTTTAACTGAATATCATTCATAATGTAACTGATTTCTCCTTGTTCAAGTAACTTTTTAAAGATATCCGTATATTTTTTGAAAAATGGCGCGAATTGCGAAGATATTGAATCGTATATTCTCTTTGGTGTGTCAAATTGTCCTTCACGACAGTTGATAAAAAGAGGGTTGAAATCGCCTTTACTCGTTACCTCATGGATCAGTGCAGTTTTCCCAGTACTAGGAGGACCTAGAACGACATGAAGCTCCGGATCGGCGCTAAATGCATTTTTAAACTTAACAAGTTCTCGTTTCCGATTGAAAAAGATCTTTTCACGAGTAGCTTGTGTTATATAACGAGCAACACGACCAGTTCCAAGTGTATTTGAGATACAATTACCGCCGGTAGGCAGGCGTTTAGTTAAACCGAAAATGAGCATGGCTGTGTTGCCAGTGTAAAGATTTTTAGATATAACCGTGCAACAATTGATATTTAACAGGTCTCACATGATTACAAAATTTATGGAAAAATTAGTGCCGAGACGATCGACAGAAAAAATTTCACATATCTAAGCCACCTTATATGATGTATATATTTACGCCGAACGAGACTTACGCAAATTAAGGTTAACTGTTGTTTTATTTTCCGATACCGCATATCTCGCACAGTATAACTGACAACACAGTTTTACTTCATCGATGATTAGGACAAATGATACCGGATCATGGAGCTAATGTATTAGTACAGATAGTTTAGACAAACGTAAGACGATGTGGTCAGGCATTAGCATAGAAACGTGATTTTGTAAAGCAAATATACATAGGCAAGAATTAATGATTTGTTTTGGTTGCTCACGTTAGGCTTAACATGTATACGATGCGGTGTGTGAGAAATTTTTATTCGATTCTTTATGATTCCGGATGAATAAAATTATAGTCTAAAAAAAATAATAGTGAGTCGCAAAAGCATTTAAAATTTTGAGTTTATTCAATGAGACCCAGTTCTCGAAGATGATTTGGAATGACTATGTATGGATCCTCGTAATACCAAACATATCTTAGAGCAATGCAATTTTCTTCACAGAGTTCTTTTTTGATCTGATCACGCATCAACTGCTTTTGAAATTCTTCTGGATCTTTATGAAAATACTTTATATGTTGCTCATGCTGTTTACCTTGTACTTCTAAAGCAAATCCATACTGTGAATAATAGATGTTGAGTTCTAGTCCTCAAGGATGTTCAGGTATTTTCAAGAAATCTGGTCGGCGGATACTGGAAGGTGGGCCAAGAATGTTAGTTATGACTTGGCAACATAAATTTTCATGTTTATTTAAGCAATATAGATACCATTTCTTGGAGTGCTTTATACAATTAAAACTTGAAAACCATTTATGACCCTTATTACACATCCATTGCATCAGAATACAGAGATTTATATATTCTGTAGAAAGACACATACCTCCCCTACTGTGTGCGATTTCCTTAGCTTCTGAAAGACCACAGGGAAGATTGCTAGCACATTGTATGCACCATCTTCCCATATTTTTTATTCGATAAAGGGTTGTAAACCATTCATGACCTTTGGCATATTTCCAAAGCATCGGGGTATCTGTATTAACATATTTTGTAGAAAGGCACTTATCACCTTATTATTATTTGCTATATCAATATTGAATCGTCATTGTCTACATTTCCAGTGCTGTGTATCATGTCTTTGGATAGGCGTGCATTCTTGTTCTGGTGTAATATGTTCTTGTACTGGGATAATCTTTTAGCTTGGTATAACACGTTTTTGTTCTAGTGTAATATGTCCTTATACTAGAATAATCTTTCAGCTTAGTATAACATGTTTTCTGCTTGGTGTACTACATCTTTAACACCAAGTTCCCTTAAGAATATCCTTTGCTAAAGACTTCCACTTATGACCTTCTTTACACTACCATTCAAGAGGATCCCATCTATTAACATACTCAGTTGCAAGGCAAAGACCTCTTTTCTTTTCTGCAAACTTTCTCATATCTTCAATTGTTCAAGTACGACAATTTTCAACTACATACCCATAGGCATCATGTTTTTTCATTCTTTACACTAGTAAGTCTTGCAAACCATAAATGATTCTTAGCACATTTCCAAAGCATTGGTATTTGACAATTGATATATCTTTTAGAGATACATTCACCTCCTTTGCTATGTGCAATCTCTTTAGCAATATCTAAAGTTAATTTTGCCATTAATATTTTATACTAAATTTCAAAAGGTCAGCGGAAAGCATGCTATTATTTCATTTCATGCTTTATTTCTTCCTTTAAGCAAGATCTACTCTAATATCTTTTATTAGTTTCATTTTTTACTTAGCCAGTCGGCTCCTTTCTCACGTATTATTTATAAAAATATAATAAAGATTTTACTTTGAGTTTTTTAAATGTGTTTCGTATTTTTACAAGTGATATTAATATTTATTTATTTTCATATTCTATATGATTTATGCTATGAAAAATATAAAATGTGCTATACTAATGAAAAATCTTGTTCCTGTTGCTCGTCTGACCCTAGGGATGGGCAGTTCAGTTCGGTTAGGTTTCAGTTCTATAACTCTGGTTTTAATAGTAGAACTGAACTAAACCGGGTTCTTTGAACCGATTCTAAATAACCAGTCTGAACCGGGTTTCTTGAACTGGTTCCAATTAACTGGTCTGAACTGATTCCAAATAACTGATCTGAACCAGTTCTTCTATTCATTTCTACAGGATCAAGTAATTATAATTTAATTAAACTTTTGGAACATATAATACCATCGATAACATTCCTTTATAATCACCAATAGCAATTAAGAGACCCAAACAATACAAACAAAAGAATTTAGGA